GGACATATGTCGGTTCATAAGTGACGTAAAGAACAAATTCTAGAGTCAAATTAAGATTGTCGCTAAGCTTAATAAAACTGACGCAAATATTATGACGTTAAATTACACGTCGTTTGCTAAAGTGACGTTAAAAAACTAACGTCGGGCAATGTTACGTCAGTTTAGCAACCGACCTTATTATTTTTGAGTCACTTTATAAGTGACGTTAACTTCGTTAAGCAGCTTATTTCTTGTAGTGATTTTCTCAAGAATTGAAAACATGTTTCAAACTTTTTAAAACAATTAGCTGTTAGATTTGTCTGTTTGGCTGCGTTTTCCTGCAACATCTCCTTAGCATTAGTATGGTCATTTTCTCCCTCTTATGTCGTTCTTATCATCATATTGCACGTAAGCTCTTTCTCAATACATGGTTATGCGCATGCCTAAGTCTCTTTTGTCGGGTTTTAGTATTGGTCGCTGTTGTGGATTGGAAATCTACTTCGGGTTCTTGTGGAGGTTTATGTTCCACATCGCCACTACTCGATGGGTTGTTGCGTTCAGTGGAGTTTGATGTGGGTCTTAAGCTGTGATTGGAGGATGTGTGTGTCTCGGACAATTGGCCTGCTTCTCAGTCTAATGATTGGAGGTCTTAGTTCAGTTTGGCGAGTACGGTTCAGGATAAATATCTCCAACGATATATTCCACCTTTCGATGGCCATTGACAGAGTTCAATGCAGCGACGGCAACGGATACAGATTTGTTGGAGGTTCATCTCTAGTAAACTAGGGTTTTGTTCGTCATTTGTTTAGTAGCGAACCAGGTCTATTTATTCGTCTGTCTATTTGAGTATCCTAACTAGGTTCATCTATGGGATTGTTAGTTAGATGCTACTATTTAATACAAAAAAAATAGAAACCAAACAAAATTAGTCTAGTGAAAATTTTGCAAAAAAACAAAAATTATTGAATCGAGAGGATGAAAGTTTATAAAAAAAAAGAGTAAAATACTTGAGATCTCTTTCTATTAGTTTCTTAGTTTATCAGCAATTTCATTATATTATAGTAGAGTTCGTGTGGAATGTTTCT